ATGGAAATATAGTATGATATGAGTCAGTAATGTGAACCACGGATGTATTTTTGAATTTTCTAGTAGTCACATTAAAAACAAATAAAAAGAAATAGGTAAAATTATTTTAATAATGTATTTTGTTTAACTCAACGTATCTATCACATTATTATTTTAACATGTAATATTAATTACTAATAAGATATTTTGTATTTTTATGAGAAGTCTGCAGAATCAAGTGTGCATTTTACACTCACAGTACATCTTAATTTAAGGTTAGCCACACGTCAAGTACTCGGTGGCCATATGCGGGTAGTAGCTACCGTACTAGAGAGCACCAGTCTAGAGCATGCTTCTCAAAATTTAATATTGCTATGGTTTGAATGTGTCCCCTCCAAAATTTATGTTAAAACTGGTGTATTAAGTGGTAGGGCTTTTGGAAAGTGATAAGTCATGATAGCTCTGCCTCAGAAATGGATTAGTGTCTTATAAAGAAACTGGAGGGAACTAGTTTAAGCCCTTTTCTGGTACCATCTTGGAAGCATAAAGAAGGCCTCACCAAATGGCAATTCTGCCAGCACCTTGGTCTTGGACTTTCCAGCCTCCAAAACCATGAGAAATAAATTTCTGTTGTTTATAAATTACCCAGTCTGTGGTATTTTGTTAATAGCAGTACAAACTAAGACAAATAAGCATATGGAAATACTGAGGATCATGTTAATATACTGATTCTAACTCAGTGGTTGAAAGAGAGCCTGAGATGCTTCACTACGGGTTCATGGACTATACTTTGTGTATCAAGGAGCTAGGTAGTTGTGGTAAGTCTGCTTTAGCTAGCAGGTTTTTGCTCAAAGTATTTCCCCCTCTTTAAATTCAGTGAACCTCTGCTGAAGAGACTAAACTAATATTCTAATGAACAATCGCTATATTTGAATTTGGAAAAGCATTAATAACTTTAAAAATAGGCAATATTTTAATACTATTTGTAGAAGCCCTGGGTTCATTTACTGCTTTTTTTTTTTTTTTCTTTTTCTTTTTTTTCCTTTTTAAACTTGAGAATCAGCCAATATGTTACCAGAATGCTTTCATAAGAATGCACTTAAGCACAGGATAAGTGCATATAATTCTAACTTCGGGGGCTTGGAACGTTAAACATTTTAATAAAACAGGCAATGAGACTTCAAGGGAAATTTGACAATAATACCTTTCAAAGCTTTAGTATTTAAGGTCATTTTCTGGTCAAGGGTATGAATATTTCATGGAAGCTCTAAAAAGAAACACAAAGAAAAATTTTTCATTTCCTCTTGATTATCCTATCTGAGGGATGGGTAGAGCTCTATAGGCAAGCTTTAGATCTTTGTTCAACAAATGCATAAACATGGAAATGTATGCAAATATATGTGGAGCCAAATCTAAATGATTCTACATGGTACAGTTGTCCTTGGGATATAAAAGCTTAAACCAGGAATAGTGTTCTAGAGGTGAGCAGTGAATGAGAATGCTGAAGAACTTATCCTCTCTCATCACTGTTTCATTTATGAACTTTAGTAAGTGGTTTACTATTTATTTTATTCTCTCTCCGATGGTAAGAATAATGCTTGTCATGCCCATATCATAGGGAAGTGTGAAGGAACTTGAAACTGTAACCTACTATCCACTTATAATTACTCACAAGTGTGTCGAAAAGAAAGTACTTAATCTTAAAGACATAGTTAAGATGGAAGCTGAATTGAAAAGATTGCCAAGTGGTCAGGACCCTTTCTAATGCTGCATTTCATAATAGTAGCAGCTGTCTATCGACATTTGTGTTTTCCACAGTAAAAATGCAAGACTAGATTCTAATCATAGACACAAGATGTTTGTCTCTACATAGAATAAAAGGCCATGCCAAAAGGTAAGGATATAGAGACTTTATGAAATATTTAATTTTAAATTTTGGCTTCAGTTCTGAATCAAACTAAGTATGGAACTTCATATATCAAAGGGACTTTTTTCCTTAATAACAACTGCCTAACTACCATATTCTATATTAATACTGGGCAGTTAAAGATATGAAATCAAAAGCAAAACTATAATATCCTATAGGACAGTATATTTATGACTTTCAAAAAGGATGGGACTTATTAAACAAAATACAAAAGTGCAAACTGTAGAGGTAACATTTAAAATGCATTAAGATGACTATCAGAACTTCTGATTTCTGACCATCAAAATCAATGAAAAAAAAAAATAAAAGAAGAACTACACCCAGAGAGATGATATTTTGCAATACACATAAGAGGCAAAGGATTAATCAGTATCCAAAAATAAATAAAAAGAATCATATAATTTACAAGAAAAAGAATAACTCACTTGAAAGAATAGGGAAAGATCTTAACAGGTACTTTACAGAAAGAAAATCTGAACAGCCAATAAAAGATGCCCAATCTAATAAATAATCAAGTAAAGAAAAATTAAAACCACACTGAGAGATCATTTATAACTCCTACAGTGGGAAAGAACAGTTTATTAATATCTTGTGTTGGTGAGGATGAGGGTTAACCAGATCACTTATATAAGACTTCTCATGGATACAAAATGATACAACTACTCTGAAAAATAGTTTGGCATAATCTGTACACTCTTTTGTGTTTCTGGCTTTGAGTTTTCTATAAATTAAAAAAATATTTATTTTGTATTTCTGCATGAATTTCTTTCAAGGTAACCAAATAAGTGATAAGGAAAAGTTTTTCTCCATAGAAGAATTCAAGTTAAAAAACTCAGGATAAATAATAGAATTATAGATTCACCATTATTCAACCCTTAGTTAAAATATTTAGGTAGCTTTCAATAACAGATGCTAACACCATTGGGTGAAATTTTATGGAAAAATCTTATAATGAAGTAATTAGACTGGCATCACCTGAACCTACTGATTGAGCCCAGGAGATCTAAAATTGGGGCAATACTCAGTATAGAGCATCACATATTAAAATTTCTTACTTAGAAAAAAATTATACTCCATTTTATCAAATCAGTTTATAGGGAAGAGAGGAATATAGACAGTAGAACAAACAGCGTGATTTTACTGGATCAGTAAAATCCAGAATGTGAGACATTTGAGGACAATGACTTTTAGGATCTGGTTTCTCCAACAAATCAATAATGTAGAAGATAAAGAGAATGAGGGCGACCATTGTAAAAAATAAATAAATAAATAAATAAATACATGCAAGAGGTCAAGATATAGTAAGATGAAATACAATATCACTTAAATTTTGATTGGTCAAATAAACTATAAAAAATAAGTTAGACAGCCAATTAAATTTTATTAAGGGTGAAAATGAAATGTGAACTAGGTATTAGATGACATTAGGAAAGTATTTTGTTAGATATGATAATGTCGAGATGCTTTCTTTAAAAATGTCATCAGATAAAGATCCATGCTGAAGTGTTTGCAGGTGAAATGAGATATCTTACATTTGCTTTAACAAAACAAAGCTGCTAAGATAATAGAATTCACGGTTTTAAATAAATTATTAGTTATAAAGGTGGTGACGAAAAACAGGAGGTCTAGGATAACATCTGGATTTTGCCTTTGGTTTCAAGGGTGGTGCCATTTACCAAGACAGGTGATACAGAAGCAACAGCAGGCTTCAGAAATTAAAATGACTTTAATTTTGAGCATAAGTTTTAAGAGTCACAAAGGGCTCGATTGTGTTTGGATACTATAAATTATCAGCAGCCACCCACAGCTTTGTGAAATTTCCTAAAATTTCCTTCAGCAGTACCCAGGGGTGTCGCAACAAGTGCAGTGAAAAAAATGTCTGGATCAATCTACTTTGGAATGTTAGTAGGTCAGATACAACCAAAGACTGAAAAGACATGGGCAGTGGGGATTATTGCAAGAGAGAAGTTAAATGAAACGTTATTCTAGGTAGGATAAGAAAGGGCTAAGTCCATTAAAGTGGTGATGGGAGTCAGGCTCGGTGACTGACGCCTGTAATCCCAGCACTTTGGGAGACTGAGGACGGTGGATCACCTGAGGTCAGGAGTTCGAGACCAGCATGACCAATATGGTGGAACCCTGTCTCTACTAAAAATACAAAAAGTATCCAGACGTGGTGGTGTGTGCCTGTAGTCCCAGCTACATGGGAGGCTGAGACAAGAGAATTGCTTGAACCTGGGAGGTGGAAGTTGCAGCGATCCAAGATTGCGCCATTGCACTCCTGCCTGGGCGACAGAGAGAGACTCTGTCTCAAAAACAAACAAACCACAAAAGGGTGATGGGTAAGGAAGTCTTCAGATAATATCAGTAAGGGTGGATAGAGGATAACAGGCATCTCAGAAGAGGTAGGTATTGTTATAATCTTCAAATCTGAATATAGCAGTGGAGAGTTAAAGCATAATGCTGCTACTAATTTTGGGGTTATAGAGTTAAATAAGAGAGAATAAAATGTTTTGGCTTGCATGCTATTTGGAAAGGAGTAGAAGAACCCATCTGTGAATAGATTGGCAGTGTAGAGTAGATACTAGGTGATAGACAAGGGTTCTAGAAAAAAAGGCACTGGTCGGTAGTAAAAAGAATGATGGATGTGAAGGAATGGGTGTCCCAGAATAGGACAGAGATGAGAGAAATGAGGGTGAGCTGATCAGGGGCCAGCAATTTGGCTGGTGACCAAAGAAAAGTGGAGAAAAACATGTTAGATGAGTGGCTCTTGAGCCTTAGGGGCAGACCAAGTCCCAAGTGCTGCAAAAGCCTCACGAGGTTAACAAATTTCAGGCGCTACTTATCATTGAAAAGGAATGTCACTGGGAATTTACTTATCTTGTCTCTGAAAAATCTTTTTTCTCAGGCTGTTAAAGGAAAAACAATGCAACTACGCTTATTCCTTATTTTAAGAGTTAGTTATTTTCATATTAATAATCAGTTGTATCACATTCCTATTATGTATACATTAGCATTTTAGGCACAATGTAAACCATAAAATAAAAAGTCTTTGTTCCTGCCTCTAAGGGTGCAAGAATTATATATAATTCACCTTATATCTGTAGTCCTTGGAAGAAGTCTTTTTTTCCCACTAAAGTAGACTTCAAAATCTTCTGTCTTTAGCCTGTGGGCATAGTCGATGTATCCTGATATCTCTTGACCATAAGAATTTCTGTCACGAATAAAGATCACGGACTGGTAGCACAGAATAGGGAATAAGACAAAAACATAAAAGAGCTGATTTATTATAGAATGCCATAGGATAGAATGATTTAAAACACTAATATGAGTGACCTTAGGAAGCAGGGCTTCTGAAACAGTGGTTATAACATTGAACAGATTCTTTTCCCCCACTGCACCTAAAAACACACGTTACTGGCCTGGTGCGGTGGTTCACGCCTGTAAGGCCAGCAGTTTGGGAGGCCGAAGTGGGCAGATCACGAGGTGAGGAGATCGAGACCATCCTGGCCAACATGGTGAAATCCCATCTTTACTAAAATACAAAAAATTAGCCAGGCATGGTGGTGTGCACCTATAATCCCAGCTACTCAGGAGGCTGAAGCAGGGGAATCACTTGAACCCAGGAGGCAGATGTTGCAGTGAACCAAGAACATGCCACTGCACTCCAGCCTGGTGACAGAGCAACACTCCATCTCAAAAAAAAAAAAAAAAAGGACTCACAATAATACAATATTCCATTTGAAAAACGAAAAGAACAGAGATACAATTAACAAATTAACAATTAGTTGTTATTATGCTGATAGTTTTATCTTGATTGCCTACTCTGTTTAGTATTGAATGCTGAGAATACTGTGCTGAAAAGGATTCTCAGGCAAGTTTTTGGCTAAGGGGAGAAAGTGTTGTGATGGTTTAGTTATACATCCCACAGATATGGCAGGAGGAACTAGCATTCTTTGTTATTTCTGTGTGCATTCTTATACAGACTTCAATCATCAGCCCTCTTCATTTTGCCCACATAACTCCATGTAAATTAGTATCCATTTCTCCATGCTTTTAAGCCACTTATTTCTTAATTTACACAGCACAAATTATAAACAAATAGTAACTCAGAGACTTCTTGAGACTCACACTACAGACCAATGTCTAGAAAGGCTGCACCTCCTTAAACAAGGACATGAGCCATAATTTTCAATATTTCATATGTATTCCTAAAGGTACTTGACATCTTTTCACAATCATAATTGCTCCCAATGTCAGTTATGTCATATTGGGACACACAAATACACACACACGCACACGGAGACAGAGACAAAGACAGAGAGAGAAAGCGCCCCCCCCCATGGAATTATATTAACAGAAAAAGAAAAGTATCCCAAATGTCCTCCCCACTGTCTTTAAATGAGAGATGAACCGAACTTATTTCTCCAGCAGAATGGCAGACTAGATATTGTGACTGACCTTCCTACTAAAAACAAATAAAAATTCTGAATAAAATCTAAAACAATAACTTGTAAAACGCATTGATGCCCTGGCAAGGAAAAGAAATATTCAGAGTCCAAAAACTAAGCGAAAGCAGGAACCCAGAGAGGAGAGCAGGGCCTTAAAATGATCTTTGTTCTGAAAGCATCTGCCCAGCCTCAGGGAATTGGAACAAGGTTTCCATGACCTTGTAGGGTGAGGATGCAGGAAACAAATTCTACCTTTCAGAGACAGAGGCTCATGGAATTTATTGCCTCAACAGAAAGCTGAGAAATCAAAAATGCATGAAGTACTATATCTTCAATGAATCCAGAAAATATAAGAACTATCCAAGAACAGTACGCCAGGGAAAATTCTTTCCAGTGAGCAAAATATAAACATCTTCAGACCAAAAGAAATAATGAGGGAATTGACTAACAAGATCATTGCTCAAAGAAATTCTGCAGGATATATTTCAGGCAAAAGGAAGTGATTCTAGCTGTCGAGTCAAAGATAAAGAAAAAATAATAATCAAAGAAAGTTGGAAATATAGAGGTAAGTAGAAACAAATATTGACTGTATAAAACAACAATAACGGCTTCTTAAATAAAAAGAATAATATGTTTAAAATGTTTGAAATAGACATATGTTTGGAGGAAGTGATTAAAGTGTTGTGATGTTCTGGAATTTTTCAGAATCAGGGCAGATGTATTGATCCATTTTAGAATTTGATAAATATGTGTGTATAAATCTAGGATGATTATTAAGAAATAAGAAATAGTATATATGACCTTTAAATTATAGTGGGATATATAAACTTAATGAACCAATTAAACAGAAGGCAATAATGAAAAGGAAAATTATAGAAGAGTCAGGAAAAATAAAATACACAAAATGTAAAGGTAGTGCCATGGGTTCAATTGTGTCCTCCCCAAATTCATATGTTGACACCCTGAACTCTAGTACCACAGAATTGACTGTATTTGAAGACAGAGCCTTTTGAAATGAGAATACATTACAATGAGCATTTTAGGGTGGGTTCTAATCCAAGTTGATTGTGTAAATGTGGACACACAGAGAGATGCCAGGGTGCATGTGCACAGAGTCAAGACTATGTGAGGACACAGCAAGAAGATGGCCATCTGCGAGGAAAGGGAAAAGAACCCTCATAAGAAACCAAATCTGCCAACACCTTCAATTATCTTGGACTTCCAACTTCCAGAACTGTGAGAAAATAAAATTGCTTTGCTTAAGGCATTGTCTGGGGTATTTTGTAGTGGCAGCCTTAGCAAACTCATACAGATTATAATAAGTTAAAATAATTAAGTAATTGCAATAAGTATAAATGACTAAATGTTTAAGTTAAAAACAAGCTTATTAGCATATATATATATACATAAATAACATGAAACATAATTACACTTAAAGGTTGAAAGTTAGATAATCAAAAAACTTATATACGGGAGAGTTTTCATCCAAAAAGAGCAGTTACCAGTATACTAATATTAGACAAAATGGTTTTTAACATAAAAACCATTACTAGGGATGGAGCTTCACTACATAATGATACAAGGTTAATGTCATAGAAAAATATAACAATTCAAAATTTGAATGAATCTTTAGAAACAAAGTTTCAAGATATTTAAAGCACAAATTGATAGAACTAGAAGGATATATAGACGATTCATTATCCCTTTGGTGAATTCATCTCCATTATTTCTAGATGAAGCAGAAAATGAATACATAAAAATTAAAAAATTAATATCGATTTAAAGGACTTAAAAACAAACATGAAGGCTTGATGTTTATCATAGGCTAGTACCAAAATTTCTTTACACTTCAATGTTCTTGTAAGTAAAATGACTGAGAATCTAAAATTATATACATTTGGCCATAATTTCACTATTTTATGTTACGATATATAGCCTTTTTGTGTCAGTTAAATCCCCTTTTCCCCAGAAACTTGACTAAATTTATTTCAAAACTCTCTTCTCCAGCTCTGTGAGAGTTAAATGTCTTCTCTGATTTTTGTGAATTCCAAGTTTTCTGATGATGGAGGACTTTAAGTGAGGTCAAATGGAGTATAAATGTGAGTCCCTCTAGAATCATCATATATAGCCCTGGGCAAGTCACTCAAACTCTCTCAATGTCTCACTTAGATTCATTAGTCCTGTGCTCTTAAGCAACTTCCGAAAAACATCCAGCAAGTTTCTACCAAAAACAAGACAAAACAAAAACAAACAAAACAACAGAATCCTGTTTAGACCCGAGCAGTTAGCTAGTTTGGCCACTGAGCAGCCTCTTTCTTCATGATTCTCCTTCAACTCTGTAGAGCAACGGAACACTCCCTGACTGCCTGGAACTGCTCAGCTTACATTTATGTGCTGTCGGGGTCATCTGCCCTGAGCACCCAATTCGTAAACATCATGCAAATACTGTTATTTATTTTCTCAGTGAGAATTCTGGTTATTAATTATTGTATCTATGATTTTTAAATTTTCAACCAAAAACATGCCCAATTAAAATTTTTAAACCTAAACTTCTCACTGCAAAAAAGATACTCATCTGGGGCTGTTTCTACACAACTCTGTATAGAACAAATGTGAATTCTTTCAATATGTCTTTCCAAGTGTGGTTACATATGTGCAAAAGTATAAGAAGATGTGGGAAGATTTTTAAGAAGACTTTTTAGTAAAATTTTTAAAAAGTTTGCTAAAATATTTATCCAATGAACACAATGCTTTATTAAATTATTTTTAAAATTTGATTGGAACTGTTAGTATGTGGTAATTGCTGACAAATTGTCAGGAAATTACAACTCAAAATTTAATTTTAGAAATACATCTTTTAAATGGCACGGTTTGGGATTATAGAGGCAGAAGAGGTGATAACACTGATAATCAGACAGATGTGGTGGCAGATACTAATTATTGTCAAGAACTTCAGGGCTGGTTGAAAGTTCACTACCTTATTTATATTTTGTGGATTGCCTAAGAATTTGAATGAAGTTAAACTAACAGTCTCAGTTAATTGCGTATTCATTTCAAAATGTATATTTTTCTCCAGAGTTAATAGTAATTATTTCTTCTAGGAATACTTGTTATCATTTATGAAGAAGCCAGTATATTCTGAGTGAAGTTTTAAGAGCTTCACATTCATTATCTCATTTAATTGTGTCAAACATTTTATAATGGCTAGATAGCATTATTATCCTCATTTTATAAAGGTGGGAAATGAAAGCATTAAGAGTTTTGGTAACCCCCAAGGACATGTAGCTAGAGAGGGGAGCACCCAAACTCACACCCAGGTTGGCTTCCCATGATACTCAGGTTCTTATCTACTGCATGATGGATAACTTAGATTCAAATGCTGGCTCTGTCACCTACTTACTGTGTGACACTGATAAGTTAGTAATACGTTTTAAGATTTAGTTTCCTCTATACTAAAATGGTCATGATAATACCTAAATTGGTGTGTGAATTAAATAACACTATTTTGCTAAGCACTTGGTAATGCCTGGTACATGGCAAGCACTCAATAAATAGTATCTATTGCTTTTGAAAAGTTTTGTCATTAATGTTGCTACTGTATTTGTAGCATGTTAAGAGTTTTATAAATTACTTAGGGGATATGGAAATGGAATAATCATATCAGAATCCCATTGCCTGGTGTATATAGTTATGTCAGGGTTGCCCTACATGGTTCAGTTTCTTTCTTAAGTTTACTTATTCACAGTTAAAACTTTTGATATAATTTGAAGCTAAAATTGAAACAAG